AAAAAAAAAAAAAAAAAAAAAAAAAACCGGAATCATTTAATACGTAATAAACGTGGTACCCTGGCTTTGTCGGTTTGCTTTAATTGGTTACTGGTTTTGGAAACCAGTCCTACCACGAATTTCACCTCCATCCAATCCGATACTCGAAAGGCGTCGGTATCATCGTCATTATCATCATAATAATAATGAGCATCGGTACATCGAAGTCGGTACAACCGCCAACCACAGACCCCGATACCGAGTACCATTCACAAACGGCGCCATGAATGAATTTCATTATACCGAATAAAATATCACGGAAGGAATATATCGAAACCGATGCCTCGGTACGTGCCTTAATAAGGATCCGGTTTTCATTTGATTTTTTTCAGTTTTTTTTTTTCTCCGGCTCAGGATAGCCGATCGGGGTGTCGCCATTCAGGTCGTACATTTTAGAATTGTCGCCACGAGGCTTTAGGAAAGTTTAACAAGAATCTACGAAGCGTCGTTATCGTCTGACCCAATTGTCCTTTCACAAATTGTTCACGTGGACCTATCAGTTTCCGAAATATTCCCGATTTCCGTAGGACACTTCCTTCCGGATTTATCGAACCTTAACCTGAGCGTAAACGAGGTTTATTGCACGTGGATGGCAGCGCGACCTCCGTGCTTTCTAAATCGCTAGAAACGTCTGAGCTTTGCGGAAGTCTTCTGCCGATATAGTAGAAATCTACTTAACAAATTCAATCATATAATCTAACCCGACTGTAATGATTTACGGAAATAATTATCTTCTCTGCTGTTGGTTCATAGAGCTTCAAGCACTTTTTCTCGAGCTTTTTAACCATATGGCTCGTGAACGTTACATCATCCTACATGACGTAACAGAATCGTAGATGGCGCCACTAACTGCGTGATAGAAACACAATATGTGAGTTATGAAACAAAAGAACCAGGTTTAACGAGAGGATAAAGTGGGATTCTCAAAAAAAAAAAAATAGTTTCGTATCTATTCAGGTTGCAATTATCTTGGGTTTCCTGAGGGTTGACAGGGCATCCACGTGGCTCCATGATTGAGTCGTAAAAGCGTCGACCGATTGCTGTAAGAAAACCGAGTTGATTTACGTTGTTCAGACGATCGGTACGAGAAAGAAGCTGAAGCTGAAATACATGTTCTTTGAAAAAAGCTCCTAAATGGCAGACAAGGGAGTTTAACACTCATTTCCTGATTTTTACGTCCAATTAATCACGACCCTAGGACCAATCAATCTTTGCGTTCATTTTACGATCGCCATATTGTACGCCAAGAATAAAATCGTCCTCAGTTCCCTATAGCGTCTCCCAACACGTGGAAACTCGGTAGTCCAATTATACTTAACCACGCAGTCACTAACAAGTCAAGAACCAATCGTAACACTTTTACACAGTTTCCCATCCCAATATACAACCTCTTCACCAAATCTTCACAGCTGTCTCCGCTTCGCAGTTGAATACCTACACCCGTATCACTATACTCGTCCAATTCTCTCAAACGTAGGTATTACTGGTAAAGGGTCTCGTAGACGATGCATATATCACATTAAACTTGTACCGAAAATAAAATAATGCCTTAAGTAGAACAGTAACGTAACTCGTCAGCCACCGTCATAACCCTACTTTTCCAATCTGGAACATTTTTTCACAGTTTCCCATCCCAATATACAACCTCTTCACCAAATCTTCACAACTGTCTCCGCTTCGCAGTTGACTACCTACACCCGTATCACTATACTCGTCCAATTCTCTCAAACGTAGGTATTATTGGTGAAGGGTCTCGTAGACGATGCGTATATCACGTTAAACTTGTACCGAAAATAAAATAATGCCTTAAGTAGAACAGTAACGCAACTCGTCAGCCAGCGCCATAACGCTACATTTCCAATCTGGAAAAAAAACACACATCGGAAGGCCGATCTTATCGTACGAGTTGAAGAGCGTAGGCGCCTCTGTGATAAGTGACTCAAACCGAACGCCAGACTGATATCAATAGAATGTCAATTTCCACCCTCCCCGTCCTCGCCCACAATGGTACTGGATCACTACTACTCCTTAGATCCATGGATCAACATTTTTCCCGTTTGCCAATAGGCTCGGTCATTGCTTGGAGATCCGTCTTATCTGATCCACGATGTCTTCCGGAGATCACCGTGACAAATATTCTCGGCTAGCATGTGTCCAAAGGGTGCGGGGAGTTGCGTCTGGTTTATATGGGTTTTATCTTTTATTATTTCCTATTCACTCTCTCTTTCAGCGATCGTTAAAGTTGGCAGCACTTTGTCCTGCGATAATTCATTTTGCGTCAACGGGCACCGCTACGTGGCTGCAGAAATTAAATAGTCGATAATCCTGAGGATTGGCAGTCATCCGATCGTTGTTAGATTATAGAATCGTTGGTGGGAAAAGAAACTTCTTTTACGGGCTGTGATGTCATTTATATTTGTAATTGATATTGGGGCTTGGTTTAACTTTCGGTTTCTATATACGGATGGCGGATAACGATAAAGGGATTTCCTGGCGCCTCTATCGTACTTTGAAAAGTCATCATTCCTGATGGAGATTAGCTACGTGGAAAAACGATACGGATTAGCAAGGCGTGCATACCAATTGTATTGGTAACCGCACCTGACGCATTGCTTGTCAAATACTATGCTCTTTTTCCTTTTTTTTTCTTTCTTTCTTTGCATCTAACTTTAATTATTTTTTGGTGTTTACCGATGAAAATTATTTGGAGCATGATTAAACGCTTAAATTAAGCTGATTATACGCTTGCACCTCGAGTCTACGTATTGTGGGATTTATTTGGAATGTGCCTTTATACACTAATCTCAAATTATTTACTTAATCCTTGTAACAAACCGTTTTTATTATACGAGTTAAATGGCGGAGTGGTTTGATATGTCGATGTTCGTGGTCATAAAATAGAGATCATCGATGACTGTTTTACTTGGAACGATTGATGTGTAAGTATTACGTCATCAAGTATCACATGTCGATATACCCCTATGAGGTACTGGGATCAACCCCATATAGATTGCGGGTGTCATATAGTGTCATTTCTAATGATTATAAATTTGGAGAAGCATGCAGATTCCATATTTGAGTAATAATTAAATCAGGATTTTTGATTAACGTATATAAATACAAAATGTCTCACGGAAGACATGGGCAAGACCTATAAGGGACTTCATCGTCCGTCTAGACTTTGCAGCACTAAATCGAGAAAGTTGAATAGGAGGCGTGTTCTTGGTGAGAGGCGTCATAATCCCAAGACAGAATCACCAATCAATGATTCCAGCCTAGTCATTAACTGACGATAAATTAATTCTATATGTGATAAAATCGCCGCGCGTAACACGTCACCATAAACGTGGGTCGCGCTCAACGTTTAAGTGAATAGTTAAACCTCTTTTCGTAAGTTTCATAATTTCCATGATCAAGACGACCACAGTGAAAATGATTAAAATTCGAGTGCACGTGGTGGGAAAAATGGGAGTTACGGAATAATTGAAGGAAAAGCCGTGATTAAGCAAAGAGGATACAGATACCAGAGTATTGATAAAAAAAATAAAGAAGAGTCATTGATGACTGAAAAATTTCTAGAAAAGGGGAAACTACCAGGATTTTTAATGGCGTCCGGCCACTGTCTAGGTCAGTAACACTAAGCAGGAGTAACGTAATCGGTCTTTATTGGGAACGTGCACTGATAAGATATACATATAGTTAAAGTTATCTCGTGACGAAATATCCGGCATTTTCCACCGACACAGACTATTTCTACCCTCTTTATCGCGTAATCATTGAGTTTGATCCAGTCGTGGACGACCTGCCGGGCAGATCGTTTCGTTTAGCTATCGATCTGCGTTGGTCCGATCACTAAGATTTTTAGTTAGCCCACATCCTCCGCGCACCACGTGTGAAATATCATAGTCACCATAAGTAGAGCCTGTATGTGACATGAGATTAAAAGTTGACCCGTCTTCACTCCTATGCAAAACAGTGGGAATAAGAAAAACCTGTCACGTGTTAACAAGGTGTCAATATTCCCCGAGACAAAGATACAAAGATCTCATTACATGAAATCTCAAAAAAAAATAAAATAAAATTGAAAAACAGTGCACCAAGAAAATCACCACGCGCAATGTCTCATCGAATACTAAACTAACCTGAAAAGTAGGTTTCACCTTCAACATCACCATTGATTAAATTGATCGACATGGGTCAATAATAGGCTCAATTCAAATCTTGAAGTCGAAATACTAAAAACTGTCCCGATTACTTTTCCCAGCATCAACGGCTCCGGGATAGTTTGACATATTTTTGTTTTGTTGCAGATTGGCGCGGTAGCCATGTCACGGGATCGACAAGGTGTAGATCGCCAAGACGACGTGGATCCTGGAGAGTGGGATCACAGCAGCAGCAGTGGAAACAGGTGGTTTCCGGCGTAGCGAAAAATCCACGAGATTCATCACGCGGTCGTCGCCATCAGTGTCACTGCTCTTATTATCACGACTGTTGTCCTGATCTTGGTGCTCCTTGTGATTGTAATTCTATTGTGATCCTTAAGGCCGATTCACGCGCCTCGTACCTACGGCCTCCCTGCTGGCCTGGCCAGCTACTATGCGAATTGAAGCTCTCAGCACCTTTGTCGCGGTAAGTCAACAGTTTATTAACTCATCGGTTAAGCTATTACTTTCAACGCCAATAGCACAGTCGAATCGTATCGGCCGCGGTTGATCCGTATGACACAATTGAACCCACGCATGGTACCCAGTGGTGCATGGTACGCAGCCATGCACTTGACTACTCGACTACCATTGTCAGGTACTGCAGGGCAAAATAATAATTACGACAACCAAAAGGATAATGGCGGTAAAGTACCGCCTGCCGAGAATATTATTAGCATATTATTAACGGTGCCATCTCATCGTGCCTCCACGCATGCGTGTATTCATATGTATATGCATCCACATGCTGGTACTCGGTGGCCGATAGAGCTGTAGATTTCAGGGCTTCGTTCACCCTGTCATACCCGGTTCGATAAACATTCGGCATTATGGTCAGTTGGTTCACGGTTGGGTTCCCTCTCATCAACTTTTCTTCACTATTTATCAAAATTTAATTCCACATTTTCCTGACTCGAGGTCATATCTATATTCGTGATATGCTTGATATATTTAAACTGCATTCTTTTTCTTATATATATATTTCTCTTGTTATTTCCTAGAGTAGCAAATAGGTGTATATTTGCCTGTAAATTTCTCTGGGATTTTGCCTCATCGATTACGAGCTCCAGTCGATAATTCATAATCGATTTCCCTAGACGATCTTAGATCTGCTTATAGTTTTCAACCGAGATTCGCAGATATCAATGACGTTTACCAGAATACCCTAGTCCAAGTTAATGGACGGTCCGACGAGTCTATTCGAACGAAATGATCTATACTGAATGATCGTACTTACTAGCTTCACGAGACAATGTCCAGATATGATCTTGAGATCGTAACGTAAATCATCACATAACGGAATGTGATGCAGAGTAGGAGGGTGTGGATGAAAATTGCAATTTACGGCCCAAGGGACCCCGAGGGGTCCAATTCACGAGTAGCCCGGGGATAAAACCATCGTCGGTACCTTTTGAAAGTCTTGAACGGCAGTTTTGAAGTAATTGGGTCTGTCTTTAAAAAAAAAAAGAATATATTCGAATCGGTCGAATATTCAAAATCTACTTACCGACACGATATCCGTTTTTTGATATTCACTGGTTCTTTTCGTCTTGGTCCGATATGCGGATACGCAATCTTTAAAAAGATCGATCGGTATTGCATACCATCGTTATCTACATAATATTACATGCCAATGTAATATCATGAGCGATTGGGTATATGCCCCCGATATTGATAAGCGATAATCGGTGCTCGACGCTGCCTAGAGATAATTTAATAATAGCAGATTAGAAGCAGCGCCACACGTTCCGTGTTGATACCGCGTTGCAAGACGCACGATATTAGCATGCTAATCGCTCTCTCGGCGCCGATATTTCCAATAAATAATCATTTTAACGCGTTTGACGAGCCACCATTCCGCCAAGAAGGAACTGAAACTCGTCGTGGTAACTCCCGTAACATCATAAGAAACTAGAATCTTCGGATCCTACACGTTCACGATGCAGATTCGCAAGCTGACAACTCATTGGTTAATTTGCAAAAGGATTTATGCAGGCGGATCTTCTGGCCTATGGTAGGACAGTGTTGATTTTATGGAAATACTTTACACGTATTAAGTAAACACCTACTTCTTAGAGATACACCACGCGATCAATTTTAAATAATTATCTGTTATTAAAATAAGGATATTTTTCATTCCTAAATATTTTTGAGTTCGCGACAGAGTGTTTCTGGTATTTTTCGTTTTGTAGTTTTAATGGATTTTTTTCCTGTTTTTTTTTTTTTAAAAAAAAAAGGCTACGTCTCGCGCTCACTGATATTTTGTGAGGGATGCGCGGTGGATGCTTTCGTGCTATATAAAGGACCGAAATTACCGTAAAACGAGACACTAGACGTCATGACTTTCGTTATTCCTTTTGCTGTTCTCGTATTGCCGCGCGACAGTTTAATGCTCGTTAAATCCTGACAATGACCGAACCCGAGGACTTGCATAGTCGATGACCGACTGTTTATGAGCAGTAGTCTTCGTTTTATGTGCTCATGTCAAACTGCACTTCCTTGCTACTTGGTACTTCGGTGTCACTAACTGGTACTTTGATCGGAGATTGGGTCCATACTGGTACTTTGGTTCCATACTTGTAATAACAAAAATGCATCCATGCCAGTTAGCTAACTAGGTGTTCGGTTACAACTGGCATAGCTAACTAACTGGCATGGATGCATTTTTGTTGCAAGATGAAACTTCGTGCATTTTTATTTGTTGCAGATGCACTTTAATACTGACTTGTTTTTTATTTTTTAAATATTGCTCAATAAACGCCTTCCTATTATAGACGGTCATGCATCCTGTAATTTAAAACAATTTGAAAATAATATATTGCCATTGGATGATATACTAAAAGAGTATGTAAAGGGTCAAGGCTCTAGTATGCAGTCTTTCGCTTACACAACGTATGATTTAAAGATTCGTGGGTGGATTTGCCCTCTGGGCTATGATAATGCACAAGGGAGGGTTGCTCAATTCGCGAATTCGAGTTTGGATCTAAATCATGACACCCTTTAGCAGGGATGCTCATTTTTTATGTAAGGTTCATAAAATTCTCTAAATTCATCTGCTATTCCCACTTTTTCTACTCTTATTTCTCTGTACAATATTGTCTAGTGAATATTATATTTAATCTATTCGGTCATTAGCCATCCAATGTCCAATACATAGTGTCCAGGTTTCAGAAATTACTGGACTCGGGCGCGAAGCACGCGATTTTTCTTCCTCTGTAAATTATTACATAATCAAGTTAAACTTTTTCACGCAACTCGATTCCGATCTGCTGCCATGAAACTGGCTAATGGGAATAGTTACCTAGCTAATGTCGCATAATTGCCTATCTACCGACTATGCTAATGCGTGGCAGTCGTGCGCGCAAAAAAAAACCCACATAACAGCAATCAGTAACACAGTTATCATATCAAACGAGCCAGAATTGAAATAGCGAGAAACAAGAATGAATTAACCAGGTCAGGGTTGAATCTTATGAGACTGGACGAAACAAGGTCGATCAAAATCGCAAACGAGGAGCCTGACATCTCTTTATCACTATTGTTCGTGACGTCATGTCGAACGGTAATTAAAAGAAAAAATTCGCCCAATCGATAATCGCCTACGTATGATTTTTTTGTTCGATAACTATTAAATCGTCCCAAAAAGCACGTACCCAGTCAAAAGTTGACGAGAGGCAGCGTGGCGCGATTAGAAATTCTGCAGGTTATTTAAATTCTCGTATCGGGCACGCGGAATTCTCCATACCCACGCGCGTATCTCCTTTAGAGAAATCGTACGGGACGTTTGAGAGTACCTTATTAGCGTGTAACTCGCGTATCGAGGTACCTGTTCCTGGCGACAGGATTCTCAGGAGGAGCAATAAGAATAATTTAAAAGTAGTACGAGCCTGTAGGATATCCAGTACAAGTATTATATGAGCACGTATGAGCACACGTGAAGACTCCTTTGCATTATTTTCCTGCAGCCTCCGGGAAATCCTGCAGTCTCACGCGGTCTCGTCCATAGGAATCCATGTGCCACCATTACCAAGATGGCTTCTACCACCCTGCTACGCTCGTATCCTCGCATGCCGGTATACATATCGTATCTACGTGCTACCAACGATTTACTCACGTACGTGGAGACTCGTAGGTAGCGTGCAGTGTGCCACGCACGAAACGGCAAGGCGACTAAGTAAATGTTTATATATGTCAATCATAACACACGGCAAGCATTCACTGTCTAAACAGCCTGCGGTGCTTCGCTCTCTGCAAGCCACTCGGTAGCATTCATTGTCCGGCACTGTCGAGGACCTTTCATTGCTTCTTACTTACATGCCTCTAGTAAGGAAACACTCGATAGATTCGGCATTGCTTCCACGTGTTGAGTACAGCAGGGACCTGGACAGATAAGGTTGCCAAGTGTTGAGATACATTTGGGTGGATGAGACGGATCGATGTTGAGGATTGCTGAGATGAAGTACGAGCAACTTTTGCCAGGATCTTGTTGAATTTTTTTTTTTAAGAGATGGCAAATTCGGAAAGGAGCAAATGTTGACGAAGAAGTATTTGAAGTAGCGGGTAGATAGGGCCGCGAAGATATTCTTCTTCTTTTGACTTCTGAGTGCTCTTGGATAATGGCGAAACGTGCAGTGTTGAAATCACCTTTGGCACTGTGCAATAAGTCCGGGAGTGGTTGGTCGTGGCAGGACTGGCAGGTACCGTACAAAAGGTATGCTAATGATACGCAAGATTGCATTGACAGCTGCGTAAATATCGTGAAACTTGTCTCGTGGCGTTTATCGTGTAAACGTGGCTTAATAATTTTAACGGTGAAAGCCTGATACGTTATACGTATACCAGGACGCGGTTTGTTGTATGAAAAATGGTTATGGCAGTATTTTGACACCTCGTGTAACGAAGTATAGTGGTTGACATAGTTTTGACAGGTTTTTCTTTATTTTTTGACAGAGTCTTGACACTTTCCAGTCTTCCACGTGGAAAGGATCACTTGTTCACTTCGTGATCATCTTTCTCTTTGCTATTCTCAACTTCTCCAGTCACCCTGGAGAATTACGACCCCTTGACTCTCTCGAAATACCCTAGGAGTGGTTTACGTAAGCAAACACACCCAGTGAGATCCGGGTCTCATGGTGTGCAGGGAGCTTTAATGCTTTCGAAGTAGCTGATCTTACAGCCACGAGCTGTATACCTCAGGGCACTATCACTGCTAGGACCATAGGGCATAAAGGGAGTAGGTCGTAAAATTAAAAAAAAAAGAGTCAAAACGAACCACGTATCTCGCCTATGAATCACGCGCTTCTTAAAGGGACATAAAAGTTGACAGTGCGCAGCTCGCCGCGAAAGAAGCTGCAGCGCTAATCTACTCGAACGGGACCGTTAAAATTAAGGTGAGTACTTACGACCGCGTTATTTATCGTTATTAGCACGCGTAGCTACTACTGCTCAGTGGGGGATGATTTTTATTTTTCAAGGGATGAGAAAGGACTGTTTTTCAAAATTTGGACCAAGACAATTTTCAGACTGTCTCCTATACCTTTATACTCGAATGATCAACAATCAAATGTCGACGACTGTCTATGGTAAATTTTTCAAAGTTGACGATTTAAAGATTCTCTATATTCAGCTATCCCCTTAACGTTGACACGTTACGAACGTTTTTAGTACCGTTTCCAATGTAAACTGTGGTTTGCGCCAGTCTCTGACACCAGGCACCGATAAAACGTAGCAGCTTTGTGCGGTCACGTTACTCCTTTAGGTGACCATGCTTATATCCAAAGAGAGATGCACGTCTCGTATCATTCATATCGATAAATCTTAAGATATACAACCTCGTTGGGTATCCACCGGCATCTTTTTTTTATCTCCACCGTGGGAGGCTGTGTTGTTTACGTTTAATTCGTCTGAAGGTAAAATCGTTTGACGTCTAAAAAAAAAAATCGAACACATCAACAAAACCAAACCGTTCCTAATTCTGAGCGATAAAGTTACTCCAGTGCAATAAATAGTAGGAACCAATTTTATTGTACGAAGAAAAGAATTTAGAGATTACTTACAGATTCACAAGTGAAGAGGACCAATTTTTATTTACACGTAAGAAGAATCTGTATGCGTGATTATTATTCCCACCTAGATGATAAAAACCTCCCTTCACTCCCCACTCTCAGCGCTCTCAGTGACTATCCATAAATCATAGCACGCGCCAAAGCCAATAGAAATCATGCCAAGAGAATGGATAGAAATGGCCTCGACCAATCGGATCGGAGAATGTGCAACGTGCACTCGGTGCATTCGTAACGGCCTCCTGCACTCTGCTATGGCAAAATGCAATAGGTTTATCAACGCTGCTGACTCGTCACTTTTGTCCGTTAAATGTCTCGTTAACAGAGACACTCGGATGATATAGACAGCTTCTTCAACTTTTTTGCTTTCATTTGACTTCTTCGTAGTTTAAAAAGGACTTTGGTCTTCTAGTGGAAATTCAACATTTAGCTTGAAGTATTATAGTTGCCGCTTACCTATTGACAGATTTAACTAACTGGTACACGACGATGGGTTGGATAATGGAACTGATAAGCAATGCACGCAGCAATGCATACAAGCACTTCAGTGTTATCTGACTTACTCTTAAAACATCTATATACAATGATACATATATTGAATGATACTTGATGCATTGCTGGAAGAAGAAGACCCAACGGGAATATTAGGTAGCAATGATGATGAAATAAGCAACGCAGGTACTGGTACTTGCATAATAGTTATTCTTTAGATATTTGACTACTTTTGTGAAATCATTAAGACCTACTATCGAATCATCTTGTGATACTGTCATTTGATATTTTTGAGTACTCAGTCAATTTACGCAGTGAATCAAATGTCTTCGTAGGTATTAAGAAACGAGTAATTAATTATATAAATTTGTATTTTATCAACGGCAGTAGCGGTGTGCAATTTTTTTTTAATTTACCTCATTTCATTTTTTTTATAAAAAGCATAACCCACTGTGTGGTCCATTCTATTTTAAAGATCTAATCGATCTGAATCTATACTTGGAACTTATCTGTTGCTGCCCTCTTGGCTTTTAGCGTTCCTTGCACGTAGGGCGCTAGTTAATTACCCATACACCCTCAGGTAAACGATGGCTTAATTAAGCCGAAAGTACCGCTATCTCCTAGGTACTGTCAGGGTCAATAAATCTTGGTACGTGCCTGGGACCGCATCACCTAGTCGCGCCGGTCCCTGACATACCTGGAACCCAAAAAGTTGTGGTCAAAATACCGTAACGTATAGTACAAACGTTCCAATGGACATTCTGTGGACATTGACAGGACATCGCATAGGGAAATACCAACGGATACATAAATTCGTCACGAAACTGTTTCACATATGTATACTGTCGCGATAGTGAAGTTTCTCCTCGTACAGTATATGCATCAGCCATTAGTCGGCGGATTACGCTTGCGGTTATCCCTTGGACGTCCTCTTAAGGTCCGTTAGAGTACCTACGGCAAAGCTATCCGTAAAGATAGAGCTCATGGCGCGTAAATCCCTCCAAGGCGAATTAGCCTTTCCTCTCGTTTTACAACGAGGATTTATGCACTGCGATTAAATCTGAACTCGACGACGCATATCGTCGCGACGCTGGGCGGGCCTCAATCCCATAATAAAAATTATTAATTCGAATTGATGCCTTCTCTATCGCCTGCGATTAGTTATTATACCGGATGACTTGTCGGAAAGTTCGAGTAATGTGGTTCGTCATTCTTAGAAACACGTGACACCTTCTAATTCTAGTATCATATTGCAAATTATTGAGTTAAATTTTGTAACTAATTTTTTTTCTTTTTTTTTTCCCCCAGGTGGTTTGGCTGACCGCACTCCTGTGCCCGTGGCTTGCTGCCGCCGGTAACGTCACATCATCCCTATCACGTAGACCCAGGGAACATCCTTTTAGAGGACACATCTCTCACTGGTAAATGAAATTGGAAATGAGTTTTATTTTGTTTTCCTTTTAGTTATCTTGCATTCGTTTTATTATCGTATAAACGTTATGCAGGACAGTGCCGCTAGAGGATACGTCGAACAAGCGAATGACATACAGAGAGATGCAGATGGTTCTGCGCCAGGAAGGTGGGGAGGATGGTGCACCGGTCGACTGCTGTCCCACTATAGAGGAAATGGTCGAACCTGTTGGCGGTAGGAATCGCCAGGATATGTATGTAGAGCTATACCGGGATGGCGATAATGCGCAACGTTTCTTCGAGTACTCCTGCAGAGCCGACGTCCTGGAAAAGCCATGCCGTTTCGTCGACCGGAAGCTGAGCAATCAGTCGAAATGCGTGCAGAAATTCTCTTACACGTACGCCATCGTCAAGAATCCTGCCTGGAAGGTATCTTTTTGATGTTGTTATTATTATTTCATTTTATTGATATTTTATCAGCAGCAACGTTAAGTTCTCATATGGTTTGGTGGTGATTTCTTTTTAGGCCGGTATCGAAGGACACGGCAGACATCATCACAGTGAGTATCATTTTCCGGCTTTCCCTGGTAATGGGGTAGGTAGCTCCCCGTGGATCCTGGATTACGTCAAAGTGCGCAGCGGGTGCAGCTGCGAGGTCATGCCTAAACCCAAGAAGAAGAAAGCGACGGCTACGAAATCGAAAAAAGCCAGGAGCAAATTGCGTCAGCCGCGCGATCACGACTCCGATTTAGATATTTGAACCGGAGTTTTAGACTCGCGAGCACCATTGCTTCTTATGGTGTAGTAATTAAATCCTGTGGACTCTAGCCAATACTTAGTTTACTCGTAATTGCATCTATTATACTCTGTCCATAAGTGGCCGTCGATAGATGTCGCCATTTACGGACAAATTCATTGGAACGATGATTAGCCTGCCTTTGAGCATATCTGAGCTCAAAGGTACGCCAATCGGAATCATTTTTATTTTCATCGTATTTATTGACGAATCCTAATTCAGGAGTTTGAATATTTTTGGGAAGCGTAGGAAAATCACCGGAGAGCCGCCACTGCGTATTCCTTTGAATACTCTCTTTTTATTGGTGATTTCTTTTTCACTTCGGAAATTCAAACGCGATCAACTATAATTTGAGCGTTCGCTGCTCGCATTTGGCTTGTCCCACTCGAATTAGTTTTTGAGTGTATTCTCGCTCTGTATTACGCATATCTGTCATTATTATTAGGGCGATCAGTACAGGCGAGTTCTCATCGGTAAGTTAGTCATGGCAGAGCCGGCGAACGTTTTGGATGAAGTCTCGAGATCACAATTACCCTACTTAATTAAAATACTAGCGAAGGTAGACGATAATAATTTTTATATGCGGCCAGTTCTTACTATTTTATTTGTATATGAACAAATTTGTACCTATTTAATGTTAAATTGTACGTTATACATATAAAAAGAGATTTCATACGTGTAACTAGTTTAGCAATTATGATTTTAAAAGTAATCTGATTGTTCGATGGATCTGCGTGTTATTTGGGGCCGTCGGTGCGCCCAAATACAAAAACTTGTAGCTCTGCTAGGAATTATTTAATTCATTATCGGTTAACTATTCTAGATACTATAATTACCTATGCACTGACTAGAAAGAGTACAAGGTGTCGCGAATAAATTGTTGCATCCAATCCGATTTGATCTGATTATATCGGATTTCATCTCGATGGGGTAATAAATAAGTTTGATGCACCCCGTATATCGTAATGCTCTATTTATGAATGTTTAAAATTGTATTTACATGATATTATCAATTTAATATTTGATAACTTACTTTCGCGCAATCTACCATAAATGCAACTCCCGATTTTAAGAGTTTTAATAGATGGCCTCTCTATCCTTTTATTAATTTCCATGTACTATATAATATTCTATAGGCTTTCAGAGATCACAAACTGTACTCTGTAATGCCATGTAAACATTGTAAATACATAAACTATTAATACAATCAAGGAATATATTATTAATCCTACTTAAAGCACTGATTATGAGTTGCAGCGCTACAACCCTACTACACTCTATATTTTGCGATTACTAAGCTCTACCAACCGTCGATAAATCAACTGTAGATGGCACCACTATATGGAACAAGAAACAGAACCGTCGGGAAGTTAGCGTCAACGCATAAAAATGTACATGTTTCTACTGTCACAAAAAATACTCCTTACGTTTTCCCAATTGCTCCGTTGCTCTTATATAATAGATAAAAAGTATTCATTAAAATAAAAAAATATTTTTCTTCCTGCTATTCCAAATAACCAAGCAGATTTCCACATGATTTTCTTAATGAATTAATTCTACCAACTACCTTCATTTTACTCTGCAATTTGATTTTTATTTTATTAAAACATCTTTAAATAACAAAATTTGCTTTTCTCTTGGATATACAGACTTGGAAATCAAATATCCTGGACAAGAATATTTAAAAGTACTGAAAGTTATCGAAAATTGCGTGCGCGCAATTTCATCGCGCAGGACCCCTCGAATGGGTGGAGCCGTGGAGTGGGGAGCGCTCAAGGCAGTGCTCGGACTCCGAGCGCTCATTCTTCCTCGAGCCGGTCTTCTATACTGGTCTCTTGGAAACACCTCGCATATTTCACTTCTTTATTTCTATATCCATTTCCAACCTTCTTCTTCTTCTATAATTATTTCTTCATTAATTCCTTATTTCATTATCTTTCATTCTTCACATTCCTATTTATCTCTTTTCTCATTTCTTCTCCACTTTTATAATTCTATTCCTTACTCTTCTACTTCTTCACTTCTTTATTTCTATATTCATTTCTTTCATATTACCTTATTCTCACTTCTTTATTTCTATATCCATTTGCAACCTTCTTCTTCTTCTATAATTATTTCTTCATTAATTCCTTATTTCATTATCTTTCATTCTTCACATTCCTATTTATCTCTTTTCTCATTTCTTCTCCACTTTTATAATTCTATTCCTTACTTTTCTACTTCTTCACTTCTTTATTTCTATAACCATTTCCAACCTTCTTCATCTTCTATATTAATTTTCTTCATTAATTCCTTATTTCTTTATCTTTCATTCTTCACATTCCTATTTATCTCTTTTCTCATTTCTTCTCCACTTTTATAATTCTATTCCTTACTTTTCTACTTCTTCACTTCTTCATTTCTATAACCATTTCCAACCTTCTTCATCTTCTATATTAATTTTCTTCATTAATTCCTTATTTCTTTATCTTTCATTCTTCGCATTCCTATTTATCTCTTTTCTCATTTCTTCTCCACTTTTATAATTCTATTCCTTACTCTTCTACTTCTTCACTTCTTTATTTCTATATTCATTTCTTTCATATTACCTTATTCTCACTTCTTTATTTCTATATCCATTTGCAACCTTCTTCTTCTTCTATAATTATTTCTTCATTAATTCCTTATTTCTTTATCTTTCATTCTTCACATTCCTATTTATCTCTTTTCTCATTTCTTCTCCACTTTTATAATTCTATTCCTTACTTTTCTACTTCTTCACTTCTTCATTTCTATAACCATTTCCAACCTTCTTCATCTTCTATATTAATTTCTTCATTAATTCCTTATTTCTTTATCTTTCATTCTTCACATTC